CTTTCCAAACATTGTCTAGTTTCGGCCCCCCCTTTTTCAAAATATGGAATGGCAACAGTACTATATTATAAAAATAAGAAGATGTGGTATAATTGCCAATGAGACAACTATCAACTTTGGAGATTCTATGTATGCTATGAGTTTTGTTAATTGTTGAAGGCTGTACGAAATGTAGTTGTATACATGTCTTGTGGATAGGTGTCTCATTGGCAATCATACCACATCTCCTTATTCTAAATATTTGTCTACATTGGTTCTAAATAAATAATGGGATCTCAGTTGCTGATGCAAGATTGACTTTATACGGTTTTGCTGTTCTGTTTGAGCTTTGTGTGCTCTTAAACATTATATACATTTATTTTTTACTTTTCAACTTTTTGGTCTACACCATAACTGATGAAGGTTATTCCAGAGATATGTTGACTGTAATTCCCACAGGAAATAATTTGTATCATATTAGGCACCAATCAGTCATCTTTTGTTATGGTATGGATATTTTAACTTTGAGAAACATTTTTTTTTAACTCCATTTAAAAACAAACTATTTTTTTTTCAAAAACATACAGAAATAAAAAAAAAAAAATTAAACTCAATTTGATATTTATTTACCTTTCCCTTATTTTCTTTGGAAACAAACTAATTCTATTCACTTCCACTGTGATTATTCTTAAGAAATTTAGAATCTAACAATCTTAATTAAATTAAAAAAAAAAACATGCCCTTACCAAAGATTGCCCTCCAAAAGATTGTTGGTCAGTACCACACATTAAAAAATAAATGGAGAATGTGTCCATGGGACACAGATGATGCCCCTGCTTGCATAAAACTTTATAATGGGACATGACTAGAGAATTATAAAAGTGGCACCACCCAAATTCAAAATTCTTCTATGTGTTTTTATTTATGGTAACAAGCATTGTTTATAAGTTTCATAAATTTGGTTGAGGCAACCTAAAGTTAGAGAACGGAAAAGAAAATTTAAGCAATTTTTCAATATATGAAGGGACATAACTCCAGAATGGTAAAAGTGACGCCACCAAAATTCAAACTTCATCTGTGTTTTGTGGTAATTAGCATAGTATATAATTTTCACAACATTTGGCTGAGGCAAGCTTAAGTTACAGAATGGAAACAAAAAAATCAGCAATTTTTCCTTTTGTAAAGGGCATAACTCTAGAACAGTCAAAATTATGCCTCCGAAATTCAAACTTGATCTGTGTTTTGCGGTTATATAAGCATTGTGTATAAGTTTCATAACATTTAATTGAGGCAAACTAAAGTTAGAGAACAGAAACTTATTTTGGGACGTACAGACAGACCAGGGTAACACTTAGCCCCTCTGCCACAGCAGGGGCCTAAAAATTGGATGTTAATATTATAGAATTAAATCTGAAACCTGATTTTCCACAGGCAAAACACAATCAGCTTTCTCTGTCAATTGATGCATGGCTAAAACACTGTTGTAAGGGGAGGTAACAACATCATCTTCTGCTGAGGGATAAACTGCTGTCACAAATCTGCCAAAAAGTAATATTTACTGCATTATAGGATCAATCATTCATTTTGCAGAATTAACATTATAACTATTTCATATGTTAGTGTAACAGGGTTCTTGGACGGAATAAAATGATTCGTCTAGATGTTTAAGATGTTTATTTATACGACATATATAAATAACCCTGAAAGTACACAAATAACAAAACATAAATACATAGACAATACGGTGTACGAAGGGATATAACTCTAATTCTTATAACGGAAAGTACATGTATAAAATACGATAAACTGGCTCTTTTCTATAAGAATACAACCAATACTAGTAAAGTGTATATGTTATAAATATATAAATTCAATCAAACTTAATTGTAAACCAAGTCAGGATTAAGTGCTACATTATGTCCAATAATCTTACGTTAATCATTCATTGCTTTATGAATGAACTATTTGATACTATAATGTTTACATGTAATTATTGACATACAGGTAACTACTATTCACAAGACACAAACAATACATTTACTGAACTTAAATTAACTAGACAAACACGGACAATACAGTAAACTAAAAATACATTGAAAACACTGATCTTACCATGTATATGGTACAAAGGTCTATCTCCTATTTTGAAGCATCACCAGATCACAATAACATAGAGATATTCTGGTCCTGATTAATGTGGAATTAGTATCCAGAATATAATGTATATAACTTATTTAAATATGGCTGCTGTATTGTATAGCTTTCTCTCAAGGTATTCAAAAAGTGTGGTAAAACTTTTAACTCAGTGACTATGACCAATAGAAGACAAGATAATATGACACATGACTGACTGACTAATGAACCAGAAAAATAGAGTAGAACTACAGTACTAAGAAGATATAACATACCAAGAAAATAAGATTGCATAAGAGAATAGAAGAATTGATGAACTCTTAAAATACACTTAATAAAACTACTTATTAATATAAATTATTCTGAAAGAAAATAAATATTAATGTAAAACACTCTACCACATTAGGAATAAGCAAAATGTTGAATCAAAGTCTTAATAGGAAGGACAATTTAATCTGCATTTATTATGCTTTGTACCTTGTATGCTGTATCTAAAGTAAGTTCTCTAACATTAAGGCAGATGGATCTATAAGTTTTCCTCGTTTCCAAATCCCTGTATTTCTATTGTATAATAGTAATTTGTATACTTTTGTAAAGTGAAATATTGTTTTAAACTAAATAAAACCCATAGACATTCCATGAGTATTTTGAAAAACATTGGTTGAATACAGTTGGTAAGTCACTGATCCGAAACAACTGGAGCTGACCGAGACAGATAAGTAAATAAGACAACAACCTAACAAAACAAAAACCAAATATATAAAATACCTGGTTAATCTTATAGTCCTTACCTATATACATCTGGATATTCCTCTTCCAACAAATTCAATATAAATGTACCAACACCAGATCCTGTACCTACAAAAACATAATGAAAACATGTGATAGCTTTATTAATAAATGCAACACAAATTAAATAAAAAATGTCATTTTTTACCAAGATACAATTGATATTTAATCAGTTTGTTTCCTTGGTATATATATATATAATTATCACTTATTAATGTAAGGTATCTGTGATTATCCAATGCCCTCTTCACCTTAAGGAACCTTTGCATCACTACTTTATTTAGTTATGAGATTAGTCAGTTTTACCTTGTCCAATTTCATTTTACAAATAAGACCCATAAGATAACATCAGAAATCTATAATGTTGAAATAAATATGAATGCTTTTTGCATGACAACATCTATGTATTGGTCATGTCACCATAAGATAGGTTTTAGTCATGCTGTGGGGGTCAAAATAGATAAGTGTGGTGTACTTTTTAAAGTTGAATTAAAGAATAGCTAATCAATGAATTCAAATATAGAAAAATATTCAACGAGTGACCGAACAACACATTAATTCACAAATGCGCATAGCGCATGAGTTAATTGTCAGTGTTGTTCGGTCATGAATCAAATATTTTTTGATATTTGAATTCTTTGATTAGTTATTCTTTTTATTACATTGACAATGGGCTTTTTAATGGAATTAAAGTAGAAAATGTAAGGAACTATATCTTTTTCTACACATTCACAATTTGTTTTGATGAGATGTCTTCAACAACGTCTTGACAACACCTATTGTCGATGACCTCAGAGGAGTGAAATAACCGAGTTTATTTCACATGTGAAATTATCAGTTGTTATTTCACTGAGAAATCAAGGTAATTCATGGCGACCAATGTAAAAAATGTATTTAAATCATCCTATTTACTATTTCACTTGTGTAAAAAACTAGGCTGACGATCGAAAAATGTCATGTGATACAACTTTTTCATCCATGTTGAAACAACATTAATCCTGGAACTTTCCTATAATTCTACAGTGTTTATCTATGACTTGTTGTGGGTCTGCCATTTTCCATTGTACCCTTTTCTTCTTGCAGCTCTCCACATATCTTTTTCATTCATCCCGATTGATCCAATTTAAGAAACTACTGGATTCATATATATAGTTCAATTTTATTTGGGTCCATAGTGTTTTAAAGAAATATTTGCCACTGTATATTAGATCATATAAGCAAGGATTTGTATAGTGACACAAATCACTATACAAATCCTTGATATAAGGCAAACAATAATAAATGAATTATTCAATAGTATGATTATCAGCACTACACTACAGCGCTAGGTCTTTCAGTCAGAAGTTGGAAATTTTTATTCTAATCAAAATGATTAATTACTGAGAAAGAATTGTACATTCTTGCAAGATTTTCTACTTCACCGAACATTTCAAAACTATTTACCAAAATGTTGTTATAAATTTTCTAATTGAAACATCAGTTGAAATCTACTCAACATATCTGCAATATTCACTTCAAGATTGGTTTTCACATGGTACACACTTAGTTCTTTTATATACAATGTATTTGATTTCGAGTTGAAGCGTCGATCAACAATTTAGATAGATTTAAGTGAAAAATTTTAACCTGCCCACCCGTTCCCTAAATATAATAGTGTGTTATATTATGATCTACTAGTTTAGGGTTAACTCTATGCAATTACATTTTTAGAATTTCTACCTTGATAATTCTTAAAATTGTTTATTGAATTGAACTATTGTGTTGTGTGATACCATATCATCAGCCTAATAAAATGTTTTTATGATATTTTCATGATTTGGAAAGTAATTGATTTCTTTGCAATTCTTTGAAGCTACTTTAGTGAAAAATATTAACATATAAATTCATAATGAGGTACGTGATGATATTCTATAGTTTGTTTATCAGTGTCGGTCTTCAGCTATACCTTTACAGTCATAACATGTTGGCAATCGTAACTACTCGGCCATTCTCGCTATGCAATACAATAATTTCTTCGTGCAACCAGAAAGGCCGAGTAGTTCCGATTGAACATGTTGGGTTTTAGTCATATTGTAACGGTAAAAAAATCTGTTTACCTCCCTTAATTTCTTTTTGATTTTATTTCTTTGGCATGTTGGTCAATAGAAAATCATATTTACACGTGTTCACTGTTCAAAATAATTAAAAGTTGAGTTAACTAGACTATAACAACGCCAATAGTCAAAGACGAAAAGGGCTTCCTCTGAAAGGGAGGTTAAAGTTACGGCGGAAGTTGAAGCGCATATCCGAAAATAAACAACATGGCATCTTCCAGCCAGGGACAAACTGTTCCACAGAAAACTTTACGTTCAAAGATAAAAGACGATCATTTAACGTGTGCCATCTGTTTAGGAAATTATGATCATCCGAAAGCACTATCATGCTTGCATACTTTCTGTGAAAATTGCATCAGGGGCTACATATTCGGCAGAAATTTTGACAAAGTTGGCAATTTTCCATGCCCCGAATGTAAGCAAATCATACAGATTCCCGCGGGAGGTGTTGAATCTTTCCCCGATAACTTTCATATCAAAAGTTTGTTGGATGCTCTTTCAACTCCGGCACGTCCCGCCCCTCCTAGATCAATGACAAACCCAAATGCTGAACCTAATAGCAATCAGTTTACAGACCAAAGGGGGGCAAGTGGTGATCCGAATTTATACCCATCACTTCAACGCTCTGATAGCGAGAAAAAAGAATATGTCTTTGTAGGAGGGGATGAAATGATACTTAAATTTGGACAGTTTGGTGGAACCTTGACAGACTTTCATAAGCCATACGATTTAGCTATTGGCCAAACTGGCCAATATGCAATATCTGACAGAAGTGGCTCAAGAATACTAGTCTTTTCAAATACCGGAATATTACTAAGCCGAATCACTTGTATGAATTGCAAGATAAGTGGACTCACATTTATGCGAGATGGAAATATTCTTGTAGCCGTTGCAAATGCTGGTTCATCAATTATGAGAGTTTATAATATGGACGGGAAACTTTTGGAAGACATCGGAGAATTTTATAGATTCGCTAAACCGAGTGGAATAGGTATAAATAGTAGTCATCAAATAGTTATTTCTGACTTAGAAAGTCACACAATAATGATTTTCACAGACAAGAGAAAATTGTCCACCAAATTTGGAAGTAAAGGTTCTGGGGAGAAAAGGTTTCTTTCCGCAAATTTCATTGCTATTAATCAGAAAAATCACATTGTCGTTTCTGATTGTGGAAATAATTGCATTCAAGTGTTTGACAGTACAGGTGAATTAAAACATAAATTCGGGAGCACGGGTGAAGGTCACGGTCAACTCTCCTGTCCGATGGGAGTTGCAACTGATAGTCACAATAACATTATAGTGGCTGATGCCGGAAATTTCCGAGTAGAAATTTTCGACAAAAAGGGCAAACATATCAAGTGCCTTGTTGAAGATACAGACTTGATAGGAAATGAAGCAAAGCCATTAAATGTAGCAGTGACCCATAAAGGAGACATTGCCGTTTTGCTTGTCGGTGAACAGTTTGCTGAAGTCAGAGTTTTTAGATGGAATGGCTGAAATATATACTTGATAATATTTTATAGATTTATTTTGACAACTGACAATCTTTAACTTTAATGAATCAGAAATAAATGTATTAAATTAAATAGTATTAATAATAAACATGCATAATGTTACAAATAAAAGTATACTTGTACATGTATGCATTTGTTAAACATTACATTGTAAATTATTACAGTATATATGAGAGAAGGTATAAACTCTTACAAATGGAGTTACACCATTTAAAAGAATCAGTATTGATGTTTACCATATTTACTACAATATAACACAAATAGAAAACATCCTAGGTAGGCCTAAACCATGTCATAGTTTACAAACATACATGTAGCATGGAGGTGTTCACATCTGATTTTCAACAACCACGCTTATTTTGTATAAGTATAGTACTTTATACTAAATACTATTGTTTGTGATGATAGTACAAAGGACCATACAAAGTTTTCATGAGAAGAGCATGTATTTGGCAACCTTATTTAAATTCAACACATTTAGCATCAAAGTGTTCACTAACATAACTAAGGCTTAAATAAAACAAGTTTTTATTTCTGATTATCTGACTTTTAAAAATTACATGTAAACGAAAATTTGAAGGAAAACATTATCTTAAACTTTTTTTTCTGCAAACTGTAATAGAATTACAGGATAAATGCATATTTACCAAAGTCAAATGAAAGTAGTCAAGAGCATTAAACATGTTAAAGAAAATGAACACTTTCATAGAATATACAGGTCTATTTTAAGGTTGATACAACACATGTACAAGCAACACAATATATATTTTTCTTTGCTTGAAATGAAGTTGTACTCAAAGTAATATGTTTCTGTTTTCATGATTTTCAGATTTGTTTTAAAATAAAAATAAAAAATGTTCAAATACACAAACTTTAAACTATGCAAACCCTTTGATATTGTTTTTCTTGTATTTTGTCATCCTTAGCCTGGAAATCACTGTTTTGTACAAGCTGAGTTTTAATATGCAGTCAAGGGACACATGTAATACTGATACAAGTTAAATAAACTTGAAGATGTAAGAAATATATGTAAGAGTTAATATGTCAAATTTAAATTTTATTTTCAATGTTGAAAAATCTCCCCATTCCATCATTTTCATTGCTTATATTGTATATATATGCTTCTCAAAAACTTTACCTCAACAAGTATATTTTTTTACAACTCTTAAAATTTTCAAGGCTTTTGGGGGACATTAAAACATGCCTCAAAATTTTTTTTCTTTATAATTTGCTTAAGAGTTTTATCTCAACATGCTCAATGACTAAACAAAGAAATCTACTGTGCACATATTTATATATATATATATATGTTATAAGTATTTCTTAAATACATGTACTGTAAATTCAGAAATTTATATATTTTTTTTTATTAATGCCAATATGCCAATAATGGGACTTGGCTATCGTGATTATCTCAATAATAAGAACCCGCATTCTGATATCTGATACATATATCTGTATGCAGATTTTCTGTAAATCGCAACAATTAATCTCGCTTTTTTGTCCATTCTTCAAAAATCGCAATAATAAATGCACGCAATATTAATAATTTATAAATTTACAGTATCCAGGTATCAGAATGAAATTTTGATTCTCCATGATTGAAATATAATTTATATCAGAATACTAAGTAAAAACAGACAATTAAACTCTTTATAACAAGAAGATAAGTAGTGTTTATATTTAACATCCTACACAGTAACTTGAGTGGAGGTTAATTTGTACCAAATATATCCAAAGAGCTTATTATTGGTTGAATTTTAAATATTTATTGATCAAACATAAATAATTACTGTAACTTATACATTGTAGATAGATGTAAATAACAATATTTCATAATTTGACATGAGCATTAAATATTGTTACTGAGCCATTGTACATGTATCACATATTTGTAATGTATACATGTATATTTTGCTTTCATTTGCCATCTACATGATCTACACAAAAAATGTCATTGATTTATGAACATGATGAATTGATTTACCTTTTCCTTATAAAGCCATGAAAGCTGATGAGAAAGCTATAATATACACAATTAATCATTACTGCAACAATTTTTGTTGGGAGTTTACAAATTATGTTAATGTTGTGCAAATTATGTTAATGTTGTGCTTATAAGTATTAAAATCCCAGGTTGGATATTTTATTGATGAGTACTTTGAGTAAGAAGCCAAAGTACATATAAATGTCTTGTTAGTGTAATATTTTTTGACTGTTTGACATGTTTTCATGTGTATAATACTGTCATTGTTTGACATCTGCCTTGCATTCAATCTTTTTTAAAAACATAATTGTTGAAAGATGATATGAAGTTTTACTGAATTACCCGAGTTTCCTTAAGCATGTTAAGAAGGGATCTATTTGGATATTGTATAGTCTTTTCATTGAACATATTTACCAATAAACATGTACATGAGCAGAAACAAAAAATAACTTTAAAGATAGTTAATTGAGTAATGTTGAATACATGTATTTTGAATTCTTCCTCGCTATCAATTTCAAAAATATTTCTATACCATAGCTACATGTAGCATTGTAGCCATGAATATTTAATATATATTTCTGAATGAATTTTCATAACAGGACACTGTACTCTTTGAAGTTTTAAAAGTACAGGCATGAGTTTTTTGTACATGTACAAATGTACATGTTCAGTTGATTAAACATGCTGATAAATGCCTTGTTTTAGATTTTTACTTTTGTCATGTTTGTGGAACCTAAACATTGTTAATAGGTTTATTTCAGTGCATATCATTTGGAAATGAAATAGGCATTCATTTGTGGCATTCATTTCTACTGTACATTTGTGCATGAACTGAAATAGTATATCTGTGATATTATGTACAATTTTTCCCTAACTTTTGGTGCCTTTGAAGTACAATGTGATATATATTTTCTAACATTTTTTTCTTACAAACTGTTTTTTTTGTATTTGTAACATGTGCCTTCATATACAGTGTATATGTTGTATGGTAACAGTAAGTTTTTCTCTCGATTAAAATTAAATGCAATCTAAATGTCTTTTGTTTTTGTGTCATTGGGTTGTAGAAACAACTACACCAGCGTAGATTGATCTTGCTGGAAGACTAATAGGTAATCTTTTTATATTAAGGATGTTCGCTACTCTGTTTCAAAATAACAAGCTTTTTGAAAGACTGTTATTTATTGATACAATATGAATAAAGGAACTAAAAAATAAGAAAAAAATGATGGGTCAGTGTGCTTGTTTTCGACATATAAGCCTTTGAAAATTTGGCGGGAAATGATTCTCTCTCTAGATTTTTCATACTTTTAACATTGTCCGCTTTTCTCTTTTAAAAACTATGAAAAAATAACAAGGATTTTGTAAGATTTTCAAATATGGCTTTTAAAACTATATGTAATAAATTTATAGAAAGAAAAGTAGGGGTTAGTGGACATAATTTTTTTATGGCAAAACATGGATAAAACCAGAGGATTCCAAAAATCTGGCAAAATTTCTAAAACAAGAGGAGCGAACATCCTTATGTTAACTAGAAAGATTTGTATAAAAATGAGGAGATGTGGTATGAGTGCCAATGAGACAACCAAAGTTCAAATGAAGTGGATGTGAGCAATATAGGCAACCATCCTGCCTTCAACAATGAGAAAAACCCATACTGAATAGTCGGCAATAAAAGGCCCTGACATGAAAAATATGAAACAATATTACATTTGTATCATGACAACAGTGTCATCATTTTAATGCAAAATATGATGATAGATCAGTGTTTTAGAGTCCAATGGCAAATAATATATGTACATATATATCAGAACAAGAACATGCTAATGTAGTGTGAATATGAGCCAATTTTCAAGTCCTTGTTTTGACACCCCCTTGGATCAAATCCACAGTCTCCTGCACTCTTGACAAGCCCTCTACCACTAAACAACTGAGGCAGTCAAAATAACGATGATGAAGATTCATTGTATTGATGACCGTGCACCTAGAGCTGTTCTACACTTTTCCTAGATTAAGAGCTCAATAAATATAGACATCTTAATGTAGATGGAACTATGACATCATCTTAAAAGTCTCCGTTTTTGTGTCATTGGGCTGCTGTTTCATTCCATATATACCATGTATGCCTTACACAAAAAGGAAATGTGGTATATTTCACAATGGCAATGGGACAACTATCCATCTGAGTCTAAATGATGTGGATGTAATCAAGTATACATGTAGGTCACCCTAAGGTCTTCGATAATAAAAAAAAAAAAAAAAAAACCCATACCAGATACTGTAAATTCAGAAATAAATGCAAATAATAAGACTGGATAAGTAATGCAATAATAATACTGATAAGTAATGCAATAATAAGACTGGATAAGTAATGCAATAATAATACTGATAAGTAATGCAATAATAAGACTGAATAAGTAATGCAATAATAAGACTGGATAAGTAATGCAATAATAAGACTGGATAAGTAATGCAATAATAAGAACTCGCAATCTGATATCATAAAACATGTATCTGAATGCAGCTTTTTCTGAAATCACAATAATTAATCTTGCATTTGTGTCTTTTCATAAAAGATCGCAATAATAAATGCACACAACAATTTCTGAATATATAGTAGTCAGCAATAAAAGGCCTAACATGATAAAATGTGAAACAATTAAAAAGAGAAAACCAATGGCCTGATTACTGCTGATTATGGCAGCCAGCAACAAAAGACAACCCTGACTTCATTTAATATGTTTAAACCATGACTAAACATACATGTATAAAGGATCACTCATGAAATTAAGAAGATAAGGTAAGATTGCCAATGAGACAAATCTCCACCAGAGACCAAATGACGTAGAGATATACAACTTTAGGTCACCTTATAGCCTTCAACAATGAGCAAAACCCATACAGCAGGGCAAGCCATAAATCGCCACGAAATGACAAATGTAAAACAACTGTATTAAGGTTGGATTTAATAAAAATTTCGGAAGGGGTTCCACAGAACCCTGTGTCCCGCCTGCGATTGCTGCTGTCAGTGGAAAAGTGTAATGTTGCCTTAAAAAGTGAGTCCATTCATCAGCAAAATACAGAATTTAAGAAAAATTCAAACTTTTTCTTGAGATGCTATTTCATGGTCTTGAGGATTAGCTTCTGTCCAAGTTTCATAACAATCCATGAAGGTTTACAAATTTATCATGTCAAAAAAGTTGAATCCACGACTGTCTGTAAATGTTAACCGTAAAAAACTAAGTCCGTTTATTAGAAAAATACTGAAAACGAAAAAAAAAATACACATAAAGCTTCTGGCTTCTGCAAAGTTTCATAAAATGTTTGATAAAGTAATTGACCCCCGACTGTACCTATTTGTTAAATGTAAAAAAAACTTAAGTCCATTTATCTGTAAAATACTGAAAAATGAAAATAAATATTTTCAAAATTTTGCCCTGGATACTGTCTTTTGGTCATAAACAAGCTTCTGTCCAAATTCCTTTAAACACTTTGACTTTAACTATAGACTGAACCTAAATGTTGACACCTCTGACAGAATATAGGATCGCTATGTCTTGCTTTTGCGACATAAATGTCGGAAGCTCGATAATAATAGATGTGTGTCTTTTGGAATTGAAAAAAAACAAAACTCTTGTCTGCCATTAATGTAATGGAATCTCAATCTGAGAATTACTTTTCCTGAGGCAGCCACAGGTATAATTTTACAAATTTATGAATATATATCTTTTTTTCTCATCACAACTTTATATTTAGGGAACCAGGATTAGTATGCTTACAGTGCAAGAAAAAGACAGGATACGGTGAATTGATTCGTGTCAATTAACTCTTAACATGCTTTTTCTAAAAACAAAAAAACGGAACAAAACTTATTGCTGTTCTACATGCCAAAATCTCTGAAGTTTTTATGTTGATACCTTGTCAGACATGAATATATTAGGTTTTGTTCACTAGTCCATGTCATTTTCACACTCAGGTTTATTTTTTAGAATCAGTCTATACATCAGGTGCTATACATGAGCTTACAATTGCTGCTTTTTTGCGGAAAATTTTACCTCAAAAAGCAAATATCTTTATGTAATATGTCCTATGATGCATTTTTCCCATTATGACCCTAGTTCAAACAGGGTCTCTTGTACTCTAGACAGGTCACCAATATTTGGTATGTAAATTTGTTGTAAAAAGTATAGTATATTTCAGACTGTAATATATCACTGACCAAATTTTTACACTCCAGTGGTTGGGTTAAGTTTTTCAGGATTAGGTTTGTTGAGTCAATGAACTGTTATCTAAATTCGGTACATGTTTGTGGATTAGTTGTATGGAGTTTAACCCATTTTTATAATGCAATGGACAATTTAATATAAAAATAAGGAGATGTAGTATGTTTGCCAATTGCACAATGAGGCAACTATTCACCTGACACCAAAGGAAGAGGAAGTAAACAACTCCCCATTCGTACTGCCTTCAACAATGAGCAAAACCAATATGGTATATTAATATATAAAAAGCCCCGACATGACAAATGTATAACAATTCAAACAACTGTATGGCCTTCAACAATGAACATAACCCAAACCATATAGTAAGCTAATAAGGCCCTGACATGACCAAATGATGAACAATTCAATGTTGGGTCACATAATTTGATATATGCTTGTGAATTTGTTGTGAAGTGAATAGGTTCATTTTGCATATGGTCTGAATCTATTTTCATAATGCAATGGACAGGTTCAATGTTATTATATAAAAGAGATGTTATATGATTGCCAATGAGACAACTATCCAATCCAACAGAGTCCTAAAGTCGAGAATGTAAACAAACTTACTATAGGTCACCGTATGGCCTTCAACAATGAAGGTTTAATTAGAAAGCTATAAACCCTAGCATGGAAAAATGTGAAACAATTCAAAAGGCAAAACCAATACTTGAATAGCCTGATTAATGCTAAAAACAGTAAACAAAAAATATGGAAAACAGCATCCAAGGAAACCACTGAATTACAGGCTCTTGATTTGGGACAGACAAATAAAGAATGTGGTGGGGTTAAACATGTTTGTGGGTGCTCAACTCTCCCTGAAAACTTGGACAGTGGTGTAACAGCACAACATTAGAAATAACTGGAAAAGTTTGACATGTCATATCGGCACAACAAAAACACAAAGATTTTAATAAATATTCATATTTCATGTATCTCAGAAATTATACATGATAAGTTAACAATATTAATTTATGTATAAATACATCAAACAGGTTAATTTCATTGTCCTTCAAATAAGCAATATTGCAACAATTGACATGATTGAGGCATTTTAGAAGATTAACTTTTGTTTTCCACAGTGAGAGCATATTCAAATCACAGATGGTAATTTCAAATCTATTGCATTATTAGATTTCGGACAGAAAATAAAACAGTACCCTTATAGCTTTTATTCATTCTGAAAATAACTGCAAAATCCTGGATTATTTATTAAACTTAGAAAAAGAACATTCTCAATGAAGAAATGTTTAAAAATTATAAATATATAGATTTCTGCTAAAACAATTTGATTAAAATGTCAAAAATTATCCACAAAATGACTGATTCTCTGTCTGGAAGTAAAAATAAATTGCCAGAATACATTACCATTATACGATTCAATTGTAAAAGGCAAACAGTTCACAGGTTAAAAACTGTTTAAACAAAGGAGAAGTTTCTCTAAACTGAATACAAATGGACAATACTAGTGTCCAAACCTGTGGTCCCCTTTAGCCTAAATGACAAGAAATTAGAAATAACCTAATGTTTAAGTATACTGCTATGAATAAGTAATGGCCCCAAATATGACAAAAAATAAAGTAACTGCTGTGTACAGCAAGGATGTGAAAGTATTGATCAAGATTTTTTGTGGAAAAAGGGAGACAATCAAAACATGAATTTCTTACAGATTTACACCACACAAAGGTGATTCAGCCAAAAATTACTTTTGCTGGTGTTATGTGATTTGCTGTAAAAGAGGTGGTTGCTGGTACTGTGGATTCATTTATTTTCGGGG